GGGGAAAAAAAGAATAACGTTTGTAAAGGCCTTTATTTCCGGTGGGAGCTTGTGCCAGTTTGAAATATTGTGACAAAATTTCTAGGACAAGAATCTCACACTTACGAGCAGTACTTTCAAATTTGTAACATTAACTCAATTATCACAATGAAAAAAAGAAAAATAAAGGCCAGAAAGCCTTAGATCGTCTCTGAAAGTTAATCACTGAATAGGTTTGTCATGATTTTGTTCCCTCCAGCCCACTTAGAGTTTTTGAAGAGAGAGTCTACCTAGGTCAAACAAAATTCAGATGTGAACAGTTTAATATCGCTTTGTAACTTCAAACCAAGCACTCTCTTCTGCTCCCCTTCTTTGTGCTGCATGTAGAGCTCTGAAGGACAGAAGAGCTATTTCACCAAACCTTAAAAAACAAATGGACATCATCCAAAATGCAAACTCATACTTTCTCCTTGAAAATCCCCTTGACCAGGAAAATATTAATTTTCCAGTTCTCTCTTCTTCCTACATTCAATTCACAAGAGAAGCCTTTAGGCAATAAACTACACCAGGGAAGATGACCAAACAAAGGAAGTAACAAAAAATTCCTGTGCCTTTCCCTTCCCTTCTGCCTTACCTCCCAGGACAAAGACAGATAATCCTTTTGCCAAATCTTCATGACAAAATTCTATTCATTGTATTTTATTACAGCCTTTAACAAGTTAAAGGAAGTCATGTCAGTCTAGTTCATTCAGAGTACCAACTGGATCTGAGCTTGCATCCTTGTCTCACCCTCAAAAACTCCAATCAAGAGCTTGTGTATGATTCAGTTGGTTACTTAAAACAATAAGAAATAGCATTCAAATCATCACACTTTAAACATAAAACAGTAATGCACTTATCCTTCTACACTAATGTGTTTTAATTAATCTGAAAATTCGGACACTTAGAACTCTATGAAATTAAATATCACAAAGACTGCAAGGTCATTCACAATTACTAAAGTGAGCAGATAGTATATTGGTTGGACCTGATAAACTAGAGACTACTACAAGACCATGAGACAATTTCTCACATATTAATACTCATAAGCAGACAACATATCACATTAAGCAGAACTACAACGGAACTATGCAAGAAAGCAGGGAAGAAAAAAAAAAAGTGAGACTGAGATATTTCTACAATACCTAGATATATTTATTCCAGATAGTCACAGGCTCTCCACATTTGTTTATCTTCATATAAGAAATTAGTCTACACTTTAAGAAATAGTTTTCAAAATACCAATAATGCTATTGTTACTGTGTATGTTTATCTACTAAAATGTTAAGAATCTGACTCAGATTAAATCCCAATGCAAAAGCTTTCACTCTAGTTACCACCAATTCCTGGGTAATTAACAATCTTCTGTCAAAAGATAGCATGTTATAATTATCTTTACTCAGAAGACATACCCTACTTACTTATTTCTGCTATATATACATACACACACTGGTAAAGCTGATAAGAATTACTTGATTTATGCTAAAAACTTCAGAGTACCAAATTGCTATGCATTTTTTTAAAAATTTACATATTTGGGATTTTTTCTAAAACACATTAGAAGAGCAGCATACCTAACTGAACCTGAACAATTTATGAGAAATCTTCCAAGATATTATTAAATACTTATACTACAGAGCTCCTTAATTAAGATTCTGGTCTCCAAACTTTTAATTGCTTTTCTATCTTCTCCACAGTAAAGAGAATTTCTTTTCCATGCTTTCAGTGATCTATTTCGGGCACAATCCTGAAACCTCTACTCTACTAGTATGCATCATACAGCCAAGGGACAAAAGCAATGCACTATTTACCTGAGAGAACTGAAGGAAAAGGAAACTCGGAGAGCAGCTCTGGGGCAGATGACAACAGCTCTCCTGGAGCCTCACTGTTCTGCTGTGCAAAAGGACTGGACCATGGCCTTGGTACCAGGGACAATCAGCAGTGGCAGCCTCAGATGCTCTTGGTAGCTCCTTCATTTTACAGCCAGAAATGAGGACAACGTGGCATAACACTACTGCTTGTCACATGATAACCACCACTGAGGAACTTGGCCCGAACCACTTAAAAGCCAAACAATATGGAGCAGAACAAACTGGCCACCTCCCTATATTTCATATCTAACCCTTTTTCCACATCTATTTCTGTGATCTTATCGCCAACTCTTATCCAATATATTTTATTGCTTTTTCTGTTTGCCTTCTCAACTATCAACTTTGCATATTTAGATTTTATTTTAAAGTGCAATCAGTTTTTCCTAGCAACTACACGAAAATCTGCTTCAAAGCATTTCTAGTTGCCACTCAACACCATTCAAAATTCAGATACGAACAAAATTCCTACTAATTGATATTTTAAATGCCGCTATAATTCAGCACATTTCCTCAGCACAGATACCTCAGCAGTTTTGACAATCAAGGTACACCGATGTTTTACCCAAATTAGTAGCTATAGTAGTTATATCAGAAACTGATATCAGCTATCTATAAATATTATATATATGGAATACAGTAATTATAGAGGTTTCTGTTTAAAATTGTTGATTACCACAAAAACCTGAATTAAAAATATCATTGACGTTAATTCAAGTAATTAATCCACTAATGCCTTGCTTTTATTCAGAACATCTGTAGCTTCATATCTCAGTGTTTAAGTAATTAAATGCTATACATAAAAATGTATCTTATAATCTTAAACAACAGAGAAAATAACTGCTTGGTACAAAACAATTGCTAATGTGCATTAACATCTTGATATTTTTACTGGAAGGCACTTCTGAAACAAAATTAAAAAACTGGCAGTTATGAAAAGTAGCAGATGCAAATGGATAAACCTGCCAAAATTACTTGATAGTGCTGACAGGCAGAACCTACTGTGTCAACATATTGCCCAACTTTTAGGAGAGGAGAAAAAAAGCACACAAGCCAAGCAACAAATATTATTATCATTCTTATACAAATTTGTTTTTATCAACCAAAATGTGAGCTAAACAGTTATTTGTGATCAATATCATAGCTTCAGAATTCAGAATGAGGAAGAAGAGCATCCAGCATTAACTCAGGCAGAAAACTCTCAAGCAAAGTTGGGTATTTTGTATTAATTAGAGCCTGCTAGGAAAAAAAAATGTACAAGTTTCACAAGCCTCTGAAATCAGACTCTTATTCCAGCTGGTAATGAGAGTAGTCGAAGTATTTGCTTTCAGTTTAACAGGCTAAATTTACAGAGAAGAGAAAAGAAGTTTCCAAATTACATATAAATGCACACCTTATATTTTCAGAACCCTAATTTTAAAAATCAAATGAACTTTTCTTTAAAAACATTATCTTTTTTTCTCATGATGACTAAATAACTGTCAGCTTCATTTGTGACAATTTCTGATCGTTTTTTCTGCTAGATAATTCTAGCGTAATAATGATCTGAGAAAAATAAATACATAAATTATAGTTGAGCATGCATTAAAGCTATACCTCATCGCTCAAAACATAAAAATAAGACTCTTTACTGTTATCTTTCCTATAAATACAAATTCTTCACCAGAATACACGAAGCCTTACATTTAGAGAAATTCCATAAAGGAAAAATCATAAGATGAAATGCATTTTCCCTTCATAAAAAAGATGCGGAGCTATATGTAATATGTTTTGTGCTACTGTGGACTGTACAACGTAACAGTTTTGGCAGGCGTATCATGTCTCAAGAACAGCCCTTCTGCAGACCTCAGTGCTACAGGGCCAGGGAGCAGCAGTTTTCCAGAACCGCCCGCCCTCGTTTGGGACAGCCAATAAAAAATTAGCAACTCGCCCTTTAAACAGAATGAAGCAGCAAAATGAAATTTCAGGACCGAGTATAAGATATCCGCTTTGAATGGGACTGGAAAGTGCATAGGAATGCATATATCCTACTCCAGCAACCTCCTAAAGGGATTTTTTTGTTTGTTTCTAATGCCAAGTGTCAATTGAGATATCATTCTTATAGCACTAACCAGTTAAAAATTCTTGACAGCTCAGACTTTGTTGGAAAAGCCGTTGTACTCAAAGAGAAAGTCTATATATCATTTCACTGTATTCCAAAATGGAAAACTGTAATTTATCTGAGAGTACAAAAGCTAACCTAGAAAACATTCACGATTCGCTCCACCTTGCACAGATCTAACTGCAAGTGCACGCTCTTCTTTTTCCAATCTAAAAATGGAATTAACACCATGACAGGTTTTGTTCTGCATTAAAATTGCAAATCTTCTATGTGGCCTAGTTTCAGCTGCAATTGATCTGCTTTGTCGTCATAGGTAGAAAAAAAAATAGTGAAGGGCACTGCAGCTTTAAATATTTCAGTGCTATGTAGCTAGTAAATAGACTCCATTGCAATATGGCTCTGAAGGTCGCGTCCTATTGTCTCTTTTCCCTGCAAATATTTTGAGAAGCACGAAAAGGTTTATTTTATACAATACTTCCCTGGTATTTCTAAATCACGTCAGTTGTATTTCCCATACACCCCCACGCTGCTTCTAGATGCATTCAAATCGTACACCGTCAATGTAACACCACAGCCATATGGAGCAGACAAATACAGCATTTCATGCATATACCTTATACAAACAAGTCCCCCCTAAACCCACCACAACATAAAGACAGTTAGTATTTCAACAGGGATAAACTAATTTACTAGATTTCTACTGAAAAAGCATGTTTGGATAAAACACTCTTAGAAAACGGCAACCAGCAATTTTAATATCTCCTCCTGCTTCTCACATATGAGAGATCATGAAAAAAATAATTATACAGAGCCCCGATAGAACAAAGTCTGCCAAACCTGTTTTCTCTGAAGGTTACTGCATTTCTAATGCTAATAATAATAATGGAAAATGCTGGTGATATTTAAGAATAAATTACAAGAAAGGTAAGATACTAAACCTTAAGCTAGAATTTGGGATCTTTGTGTACACACTCCCTAGGATCAACCCCAGTAATTTCACACAAGGTAACTATTTAGTGCAGATATAAGTTATGAAGATGCCTCTCAAGTGGAAGAGTATCATGAAATAACCCCCTGCAGTAAATATAACTGTGACAGCTGTCACCATATAGAAGGTGCATGCAGTCATTTACCTGAAAAGGCAACAGATTGTTGCCATTATCCGTCCTGAAAGCGTTGTCTTCCATCCAGGATTTGGGAGTTAAGGGTGCAGCCCGTGGGAACTTCGGAGGGGCAATGACATTGCTGGAGAAGGGTTTTTTAAGGGGTGAAATGGGATTGAGCGGGGAGGGTACGCCGACCCCCACGCCCACGCCAACCCCCACTCCAACTGCCCTGCGAGGGTCCCTACCAGCCTGCAGCCCACCCCAGGGGTTGGAGGGTGTACTCCAAGCCGCATTTTGATGGTTATTCCAGCTGGAGGAGGAAGAAGAGGAGGCAGAGGAGGAAGACGGCTTGCTGGTCATGATGGGCTGATGGCTGTAAGCAGCATTTCTCTGGGCAAAAGGTGCCTGATTAGGGCTCACAGGTGACCTCCGCTGCTGCTGCTGCTGAGCTTGCTGCTGCTGCTGCTGATGTTGGTGGTGCTGAGTCTGAGCTAGGCCAATTTGAGGCGAGAAAGTGCCACCAAACACAGGATTGACGTGGTGTGGAAAATTCTGGAAAAGCATTGTCCCATTGACTGGAGTAATCCCTTGGAAAAAGCTATCATCCACCGTGTTTGTGGTCCCTGTAGACCAGGTGCTGCCGAAGGAGGGAGACAAGGAGGTGCCGGCTGCAGGTTCTTGCTGAGGCTGGTGAAAGCTCAAGCCAGGCAAAATGGGGGACTCCATCTGCATCTTCTCCTTGCTATTTTGGGCAGGAGCTGCTGTGCCGATACTAGTCACTGGGCTGCTGTCTTCTGGTTTGGGTGTCTCCGACGAGATGGGCGTAGAGGGGGCTTCAGCTGAGTTTGGATCTTGCTGCTGCTGCTGCCGCTGCTGCTGGGGCTGGGCTTTGCTTTTGTCCATCAGTAAATCATCCTGCATGGTTTGCGCAGCTGAAACAGTAGGGGAAAAAACCACAAAGACAGATTATTAGCATTGTCATTCATACTACAAACCAGGCTGTTTCAATCATTTGCCTGCCAAAAATCTCGCCCTATTGCTAGCGCTACGCTACAGCGAGTTGCAAGGCGAACCCGAAATCTCCCCCTCCCCCATTTCGGAATATGTAACGCTTGATCCTGCCAGATTGCCTTTAAAATATATTTTAAGATGCTTCACCCTTTTTGATGCCTTGTTTCCCTTCAGTTTAAATGAGAGATGTGCTTATAGGGCAGAGATATACAGCAATTTCGCCACGTCTCTTTTCTCTTACACCGGAACTCAGAGCTCTCACCCTGCAATGAGAAACTGATTCTGGTTCCTGTTTTTCCAAGCACCCTCCTCCTCCTCCTCCCCCTGGTTATTTGCATACGTCAATAAATACTGCTGCGTCCTTCAGCAAGGTTAAAAAGACACCAGTCTGCGCTCCTCTCCTCCCCTTTTCCATTAGGGGACCTTTAAAGGAACCGGGCGCCTCTTTTCCTTAACGAACAAACAAGCCTTCAAGTCTCTAAATCTACGCGAGAGAAGCACGCAGCACATCCTGCGCGGACGGCAGGAGCTGTTCTGAGCGGCACCATCATTTTCTGCCCTTTTCTTGCCAAGCAGCTGGCTTGCTCTTTGCACATGGGAATCGTCCTGGCGATGAGGCAGGGGGCAAATAGGCGTAGGGGCACTTCATGCACACCCAGGGGCAGTTATATTGGCCTCTAGAGACCTTACAACCCTTCTGTTTAAAATAGTATTTTACGTCAAAGTAATCCTTGCCGAAGTGCATTGCTACTCACTACATTCCTATATAGGAGATATCACAAGGAGAGTAATTTCTCTAAAGAAACAAATACGGTCAAAATGAGCAAATCCGGGAGATAGTATTTGACTCAAGTTTCTCATGCTTTTGCAATAAAAAATAAAAAAGGATAAATCAAAATATTTTAAATATGGACATGCCACATTTCAAAAGCCATTTTTAAATGCACAAAATAAAGATTAGCAATGCAATTTATATGCTAAATCAATACATAGGCAGAAGAATTAAGAATTAAATGCAAGTAGCATGAGCGAGTCTTATATCTGCTAGAAATGTACTTCATATAGAACAGGTCAATATCATTTGGATATTATTTTAAAATACTAGCACTAATGTTTATATGGATGTCAAGGAACAGCAATTGCATCAAACTAAAACAGGCACCTCCTCTTAAAGCAGACTTTATAATGATCTCAATTATAGAGATCATTATAAATCTAAAAGTACTTTAAATGAGCCAAAATCACTTAATTGAATAACCATGTCGAAGATAGTCATTGCTGGATACCTAATCACATTTCTATTGAGCTAATCATATGATGTTGTTTAATGAAACAAAGTAAACTTAAACCAAATCTATAAATGGATTAAGAAGGGTGTCAGTGCAGTCAATGACGCTGTGCTTTCTGGCATGAACTGTTTTCACAAGGTCCACACCTACCTTTAAGACTTGTTTTTTAATCTTCTCCGAGACATACACATTTGTTAATTAGAAATGAATGTCAGGACAGGTTGCTGCTATCACTTAGGTTACTGCTCAGGCTTTCTATTATTTCCCTGTTTAATATGTAAGCCTAATGACAAGGGCTTATGAACAGGCTACATAGAGAGCCAGCACTACAGCAAGGACCTCAAAAGAAGGGAGGAAACTATTGCAAGAGAGAAGGGCAGCGCTGCTGCGGGGTGCAGGAAGCTTGCGAGGCAGTTTAAAGCAGTGCTGCAGCAACCGTAACAGTCCAAGCTCTGGGTAGCTCTCTGTTAGCTGCATTTCTACCAAAGTCACCATTACTCTTAAGGCTGCATAAAATTGCTGATGATTCCACGTTAAAGAGAGAAAAAGGTAATGTTCACCCCTCCCCAGATTCTGAGACATCGATTTAAAAATACATTCAGGCAGAAAAATATAGCAGATGAAACATCAAAAAACTTGTTTTTAATAAAGTATATTTAAATCTGTTAGTCACCAGGTTATCTATAGTTGCTACCACAGCAGTTGTTTCAAGTATGTATCTTGACCTAGCTATTTGTTTTTGAACTTTATCCTGAGGACTGCAATCCACATTTGTTTTCATATTACTTCTTAAAGGTAAAATTTCTGCATAACTTAAGCCTCTCGTCAAGGTCAAGACCTACCTTTAATGAATGAAGCCAGTCTGAATGGAAAAACACTGGATAAGAAAATGACTTTGAAAGACAGGCCAGCCAATGTCTAATGTTAGACTAATATGCAGTACCTCTCGATTATTTGCTGGTGTAAGTACTTGTGCAAATTTACAATCCAGAACAGGAAATCTATATTCCCGTAGCAATACCAGCTTCATTTCATGCAGCACTCCATGCAGTCAATGCAGAAATTCTTAAGGAACAGTTACCTTTGGATTTTCTGTATTTAAAGATCAATAAAGGGACAGTGGTTTATTTCCTTCTTTAGGATTTGGCATATGACAAACAGGCGCCCACTGTGGCAGGAGCACTTTGACAAGTGGCAGGCAGCAGCGCATGTGCTCCGAGGAATTCTGGGGCTTGGAGTCTCATCCAGCACCGCTTCTCCCGAGGTCTGGGATGAGAATGGGTGCCTGGAAAGGAAGGGGCTTGAAAACATAGAAAAAAAAAAAAAAACACACACACAAGCACCCTCTCAATCTCCAGGGAAAAGTCGTGTTGCAGTCTGACTCACTAGCTCTCGGAAAATAACTATCCGTCAATGTGAGCTGTGAGTCAATAATAAAATCAGAGCTTCTAATAGTTTAATTACCCAAATCAAATAGCTACCTAGTTAGAACAGCAAACACTAGCCAAACCAGCATAAGAAATTAATTATAAGCTGTAAAAATATTGCAGCTATTACAGATGAGATTGTATCATGAGTTTTAGCTGAAGAAAATATTAATCTGCTATAGTATCATTTTTAAAAACATATTCCAAAGCTCATACACAAATAGAGCATGCAAGTTTTTTTAAAAATAAATAAAAATCAGCACATAGGCATTAAATGATGCTATATAAATACTTTCAGATTTCCGAATCACCATTTTTCAATACCAAATTATTGTTAATTCCTTGGGAATCCTACCAAGAAAAAAGTAGACATTTTTCAATTTAAAATACTGTACGCCCTGTACTCTGCAGCTCCTGATTCCAGATGCTTCCCTTCCACCATCCACAAACCACATATCTCCAACCCTCCACTGCAGTATACATTCACAGTTCGATGATTAATATAGGTCAGATGGAGTATTCAGAAGGTAGTTTACAGATGCTCATGTTTGCTGTCTTATACATGAATAACCATGGTTCTGGTTATTCTGGACTGAGTGCTAATGCCTGTATGAAGTTACATAACTGAAATCAGCATTGTGAAAACAGCAGTGTGTTATAAAATTGAATGCTGATTGTTCAAAGGATGAAATGGACTCTACACTTTATGGATGAAAAGGACATGGCTAAAGCCAAGAAACAAAGAGAAATTAGGGAAGTTGAAAATGGGTTACTGAAAAACAGGTCTTTGCTTTCTACAGTCTGTTTATGTTGGACTGTATAGTCTGCCTGCCTTAAATCAATGTTGTAATTAAGAGTTTCTCAACACTTGCTCTGATTTGTTTCTGCTGCTCTGAATCTCTAAGGGCCAGGAAAACTGCTTTCTTACAGCAGTTGAGAATTCCTCATTTACTGAAATATCCCAGCTAGTACTGGTCTGTCTGTGTTCACTGAATACCAATCCTTTACATCCCTTTTCATTCCTGGGACAGCATGCTTCACTGCTTTTCAGATGATGTGAGGATGAGTGTGGAAGGGACCATGGCCTGTCACTTCTGCGCAGGGGGCAGCTTTTCTCAGCAGATAGATCATTAGGCTGGACTAGATGTCCAGAAATGGAAAAGCACTCTAGAACCAAGAAAGTCAGAATATAAAGAAAAGGTTTTTTAATGTTAGTAGCCACTAGGGGAAGAAAAAAAAAAAAAAAGTTCCTTCTATCATTTCCCCCTTCAGCCAATGAAAGTTGAAACGATAATAAGAATAGCTGCATAAGCACATAAGACCTTCATTCAATCTGATATCTGAATTACTTGACCTGCACAAGTTCCAAAGAGACAAATATAAGAAAGACACAAATGAACCTAGCCAACTTGATGCATTTTTACTTTCTAAAATACACTTGGTGCATTCTTATTTCCTGAAAATCATTGTTAATTTAAGCCTACAATGGGTAATGATGTAAGCAAGTCTTTTTACTAGAAAGTGAAGATTCCAATTATCTTGAAGGCTAAAGGAAGCATTATGGTATTGAAAAACTTTTATTCCATAAACATTTTTCTCAGGTCAGATTTCCTTCATTTTATTTTCACTGAGGGCTCCTTGTCTTGTCATGATGGAATTAAGTAAATATAAAAGGCCTAACTGAACTTGTCATTTATTGTATGCATTGCTTTCATAGCAGTTAGAATGCAGTATTGCCTTAAGAGAAGTAATACTTCCATATTGCCAGGTTACTTCACTTTGCAGAAAACAGTGAATAATTCCTGCACGATCAGTATTGTCACATCAAAAGAACTGCTTTAAGGAACCATTACTTCATTATTCAGCCTCTTTTTCAGGTCTTGCTGAAATGATTCAGTAAGAATTTACTATTATCTACATTATTTACATTAATTACTTACAAACTTCTTTATTAGACTTTAATCTGACCAAGTTTGTTGACAAAAGATGACCTGTCAACTTATAAATCTGACAGCCTAATTTAGTGCTGAATTTGCTAAGCTCTAAATAGCTTACGTAATTTTTGATGACTTTTATCAAGCACTGTACTTCTCATGGAAAGTTTTATTTAATTCAAAATAGCTGCCATCTCCTGTTAGTATCAGTGAGGCTGAGCTCAATCTAATCTCAGTTGGTTTCCTTCACTTTCACGGGTAAAAATGAGTCTATTCCCCAGGGATTTGTGTCTAACTGGGCTCAGATGCAGCTCCAACAAGGTGAGGACAGAGCAAGACAATGCACTGAACGCTTTGGAGACAGAAAGGAAGAAGAAAGAGCAATTTAATAGCAAATAATACGGGGAGTAATCATTTAGAAAGTGCAAAAGCAGCAAGAGGCAACCTGAGCTTTGGCAATAGTGGAAATTGCCAATGTAAAGCAGGAAGCATACAGAATAAAAAGTGCAAGGAAATGGAAGAGAAAAAGGGCGAAGGGGACAATGAATTGAAGGAGAAGACTGTTGGGGAGAATAAAGGAAGCATTTGAGTAGAGCAGCTGCATATCCGGCCCTGTTAGGGGGAAGAG